AACACTTTTCATCCAAACTTGGTTCATGTATTAATCAAAGGCTTAAGTGGTGCCTTTTGCTGTTAAGGAATTTAAAAAAAATATTTTTTTATGTTTCCATGGCAACAAGTTTGACTTTGACTCTGTTCATTGTGGTGTGTTTGTCCGAACCACATCTCTAAAATTAAAAGGTATTCTTTCTTGAAACTGTGCATACACAAAGACAAGATTGCCAACTGGTGCCTTTGAATATTTAGGGATTTTTAGAAGTTTTAATTTTTCTGTTTCCATGGCAACAAGTTTGATTTTGATTCTGTTCACAGTAGTGTGTACCCGACATAGAAATACAAAGTTCCGAATCCCAATTCCATGGTATTGTTTTGACAGCTCAACAACTACTCTTGTATACGGACAGACAGATTAGATACAAATTCTCTCATCAAATTGGACTAAAGTAACAGTCAGATGATTTGTTCTTTTGAATTTGTGGGGGCCGGGGGTGGTTTGAGTTTGGGTGATGCAAACCTGTGACTGAACCAACGACCACATGGTCAAGTATTGCCGTGTTCATAGACCCTCACCGCCAGATCCAAGTAATTATAAGTCACATCTTACAACCAGTAATAAGGGAGTGTCTGTTTGATATTTTATGGGGTGCCTTGGAATTTTTGAAAAAAACTTGAAAAACATCATTTGCTCTCAGTTTTTAAGATGTCGCAACACATGCTGGAAACTCCCCTGCTGAAATGGTGATGGAATCACCATGGTAAACCTTTGCTGGTAAATGGCACCATGGGTTAACATGGTGAATTTGACCATGGTTTTCCATGGTGTACCATGGTCTACCATGGTCAAATATACCATGGTCAAAGAAACCATGGTCTACCATGGTCAAATATACTATGGTCTACCATGGTCAAATATACCATGGTCTACCATGTTCAAATATACTGTGGTCTACCATGGTCAAATATACCATGGTCTACCATGGTCAAATATACCATGGTCTACTATGGTCAAAGAAACCATGGTCTACCATGGTCAAAGAAACCATGGTCTACCATGGTCAAATATACCATGGTCTACCATGGTCTACCATGATCAAAGAAACCATGGTCAAATATACCATGGTCTACCATGGTCAAATATACCATGGTCTACCATGGTCTACCATGATCAAAGAAACCATGGTCTACCATGGTCAAATATACCATGGTCTACCATGGTCAAATATACCATGGTCAAATATACCATGGTCTACCATGATCAAAGAAACCATGGTCTACCATGATCAAAGAAACCATGGTCTACCATGGTCAAATATACCATGGTCTACCATGGTCAAATATACCATGGTCTACCATGATCAAAGAAACCATGGTCTACCATGGTCAAATATACCATGGTCTACCATGGTCAATAACCATAAAGGATCCCCAAAGGGTTATCAAATGTTACTGTATGTTATAAGGCAGTGTCCGCATGTAATGACGGGGCCCGGGTGGCCCAGTCGTCTAAGGCACCGTGATTCGCTGTGCAGAGTTGCATCCCTTGGGCACGCCAGAAACCTATGATTGTGGGTTCGAATTCCAGCACCATACCCCTGCTCGTGGGTTTCACCGAAGTGGTAAACATCTGAGACCTGCATCACCTCGGGCTTTCCTCCCACATTAAGCTGACATGGCGTGATAGAACCGGAATACTATTAAAAGCGGCGTTAAACCCAACTCACTCACTCACACATATAATGACAACATGGATCTCATGTCTTCAAGTGTTTGTTTATAAACATGCTGGTTTGACAGTAGGATGTTGACAACACAGTATTCAAACAGTCACTCCCTCACCATATCATCATTAGTTATGCAACATGTCCTTGAAAAGTGAGTGGTTAAAGCGTTTGCACGTCACGCCGAAGACCCGAGTTCGATTCCCGACATGGGTACAATGTGTGAAGCCCATTTGTGGTGTCCCCCGCCATGATATTGCTGGAATATTGCTAAAAGCGGCATAAAACCATACTCACTCACTCACTCACTCACTCACTCACTCACTTTGTGTTGGGGGAAAAATCATTAAAACTTGCACAGCTGCATTTTTTTCAAGTGTGCACAATACACAAGAAAATATGGTTTATATATTGTCACTGAGCATGCTGAGGAATTTAATAAACTATTTATGTTTCATTGACATAACAGTAAGTACACCATCAGTTTGTTTTTGTTTGAGTGAGTGAGTGAGTGAGTGAGTGAGTGAGTGGCGGTATGGCATTTTTCCAGCAATATCTTGGCAGGGACACCAGAAAATGGACTTCACACATTGTAGATTGTTTGTTTGTTTGTTTGTTTGTTTGTTGTTTAATCCCGCACTCAGCAATATTCCAGCTATATGACGGCGGTCTGTAAATAATCAAGTCTGGACCAGACAATTCAGTGATTGACATCATGCACATCAATCCACGCAATTGGGATTGATGACATGCATCAACCAAGTCAGCGAGCCTGACCACCCGATCCCATTAGTTGCCTCTTACGACAAGCAGAGTCGCTTTTTACGGCAAGCATGGGTTGTTGAAGACCTATTCTACCCAATTTCACAGGTCTCACACATTTTACCCAGTTGGGAAGTGAACCTGGGTCTTCAGCATGACAAGCGAATACTTTAACCACTAGGCTACCCCATCTCTCTCTATTTGAATGAACTAAATAGGACCCGATGTCTCCAATACATATAGACAACATCAAAGACATTTGATCTCATCCTCAATTATCCAGAGTATTGTATGGCCATTCCATTATGATCAATAACCTGGCCCTATACAGGATCCTAGTTTTATGTTGAGCCTGATTCAAATGACACGACATTAAAGGCAGCCATCTAATCAAATTACACAGATGAGTGAGAGAAATTCAGTGCTAAGTCATAAGAGATGGCGATGGGGACATCTTTACCAAAATGAAGCTAAGTGATTGAATCGAAGTATTATACACTAGATTAAAGGTGAGGTGAAATTGGGTTTAATGACGCTTCCAAGATTATTGCACTTATATAGCGACGTGCATGCACATGTGTGTGGCTGCCTGTACTAGTCCGGACTGATGCCGATTTATAGTGCTAGCACCCTGACATACCATGCCGCAGTTTAACATGAATGCCCAACTCAGACACAGTATACTGACTCCGAGCCAACCAGTCCTTGTTTTAACCCCTTAATGCCGAGCGCCAGACAGGGTAACAACAAGTACCATTTTTGGGTATTTTGGTATGACACGGCCGGGGATCGAACCCCGGGCCTTCCGCTCTCCGGGGGTTGCTCTACCACTAGACCATGGAGGCGGTCTCTTCCAAAATGAAGCTAAAGGAAGTAAAATACACTAGATTAAAGAGGATGATGATGTGATGAAGAGATTTGTTGACACCAATATGTCTGTTTTAATTGTAACATGAAGCACAATAATTTCAGTCAACGTTTCTAAGTATTTTGCCCTCTGTTAAAGTTAGACCTTTATTTTCTTCATGACGCTACACAAATTTTATTTGTTGTTTTTTGAGATTTTATAAACTATCAAGATATTTAACTAGTAGTAAGTTGAAACTTCTTTTTCTTTTCAGAATCTAGGACAAGCTTGTGAACAGAACAAGACAAGAAAGGATCTGGAGATACAAATATTGATGTATGAAAGAAGATTATCAAACTTCACATTCTAGAAAATACAGATTGACAAGAGAAATCATTGGGACAGTCCATACAGTGTTCGAAATAAGTGCCTGCCTGTCGGCCCGCTGCAGGTAGATCTTCTGTCAGGCCGGTAGTTGTAAACATGTGAAGGTCCTTACGGCCTGTACGTTTTCGTGTCGATATTTTTGTCACAAAAAACTGCAATTCTTAAATGAGGGACTGAAGAGTTTAGTAGGGGCTTGTGGCTTCCTGAAGACAGCCTGGCATTTTTTTTATTTCAAACACTGAGTCCATACTAGTCATGAAAAGTCCAATTGGACTTTTCTGTACATAGTTTATGTTTGTAGTTTAAAGTCCCACTGGGCAATGTTCCAGCTATATGTCGGCAACCTGTAAATAATCGAGACAGGACCACACAAAGCAGTGATTAATGTTATGAGGAAACATCCAAGCTGTCCGGGTATGTATGTATCGTTATCATCCGAGTCACTGGGCCTGACCACACGATCCATGAAGTCAGCGAACAAGACAAGCATAGGTTGATGGGGACCAATTCTAACCCAGAACCCCAATTGGGGCTATGAATCAAGTAGTTGTGAAGTGCAAATATATCAGTGAGACAAAGTTGACAACGTACCTGGCCACACTCGATGTCCACATGTCTGTTTGAGCAACCCTAACACCATTGAAACATTATATTTTATTGGCCGTGTCGTACTAAACGCCAACTGACTGTTACCCATACCCATATTTGCACAGATCATATTTCATAATTTACATTTCACAGATGAAGGGACCAATGACAGACTAAACTTTCTGCCACATTTGTTGTAATTATCTCATCGTACAACCTGGCCTATTTGTCTGCTGTGTTTTATTTGAGAAACCGAACAATATGGCTGAATTTGCCAGGCGTATCTGTGGACATTTGTACGCGACCAGTGAAGGGGTGGTGTGGGCTTGGGGTCGATAACGAGTTTACTTTGATTGTGTAAACATCTTTCTGTATGATTGACAATGCTTGTGGTAGGACGGCGTGTGAGAACGGATTGAGAGGGTTGTCCTTCCCGAATTGTGTATAACAGCAAGTCAGACAGATGGCCACGGCTCAACAAGTTCTATTCATCCTACATGCAGGTGGATCTGATCCACTAAGTGATTTGAATCAGTGGTTTGTGATTATATTTCGTTGGGTACGATTTGTTGATCAATGCGACGACAGATTTGAGGGCCTTCCTTTCGTGCAAGCGGTGTTGGTTGTATCACAAACTTTTGATATTGATAATGCTCTGTTTAATATTTTTTATGTTGTACTCTGCACATGTTGCATAAAAAGTTATCTTCAGGCTGGGGTTCTGTCATGGTGAGAGTTGTGCTGTGGGTGAGAGTTGTGCTGTGGGTGAGAATTGTCTGTGGGTGAGAATTGGGGTCCTGAGAGGTACTGGACAGAGGAGTTTTGGAATTGGTTGTGAGAATTTTGGGTTGGTGAGAGTAATGGTTTGTGAGAAAAGTGGGTTTGTGAGAATAATAGATTGTGAGAATTGTGGCTTGTGAGAAAGGTTGGTTGGTGAAAATTGTGGCTTGTGAGAACGGTGGGTTGGTGACAAATGTGGCTTGTGAGAAGGGTGGGTTGGTGAGAGTTGTGGCTTGTGAGAAAGGTGGGTTGGTGACAATTGTGGCTTGTGAGAAGGGTGGGTTGGTGAGAGTTGTGGCTTGTGAGAAAGGTGGGTTGATGAGATTTTGTGGCTAGTGAGAAGGGTTTGTTGGTGAGAGTTGTGGCTTGTGAGAAGGGTGGGTTGGTGAGAGTTGTGGCTTGTGAGAAGGGTGGGTTGGTGAGAGTTGTGGCTTGTGAGAAAGGTGGGTTGGTGAGAGTTGTGGCTTGTGAGAAGGGTGGGTTGGTGAGAGTTGTGGCTTGTGAGAAAGGTGGGTTGGTGAGAGTTGTGGCTTGTGAGAAGGGTGGGTTGGTGAGAGTTGTGGCTTGTGAGAAAGGTGGGTTGGTGAGAGTTGTGGCTTGTGAGAAAGGTGGGTTGGTGAGAGTTGTGGCTTGTGAGAAAGGTGGGTTGGTGAGAGTTATGGCTTGTGAGAAGGGTGGGTTGGTGAGAGTTGTGGCTTGTGAGAAAGGTGGGTTGGTGAGAGTTGTGGCTTGTGAGAAGGGTGGGTTGGTGAGAGTTGTGGCTTGTGAGAAAGGTGGGTTGGTGAGAGTTGTGGCTTGTGAGAAAGGTGGGTTGGTGAGAATTGTGGCTTGTGAGAAGGGTGGGTTGGTGAGAATTGTGGCTTGTGAGAAGGGTGGGTTGGTGAGAGTTATGGCTTGTGAGAAAGGTGGGTTGGTGAGAGTTGTGGCTTGTGAGAAAGGTGGGTTGGTGAGAGTTATGGCTTGTGAGAAGGGTGGGTTGGTGAGAGTTGTTGCTTGTGAGAAGGGTGGGTTGGTGAGAATTGTGGCTTGTGAGAAGGGTGGGTTGGTGAGAGTTGTGGCTTGTGAGAAGGGTGGGTTGGTGACCATTGTGGCTTGTGAGAAGGGTGGGTTGGTGAGAGTTGTGGCTTGTGAGAAAGGTGGGTTGGTGACAATTGTGGCTTGTGAGAAGGGTGGGTTGGTGAGAATTGTGGCTTGTGAGATGGGTGGGTTGGTGAGAGTTGTGGCTTGTGAGAAGGGTGGGATGGTGACAATTGTGGCTTGTGAGAAGGGTTTGTTGGTGAGAGTTGTGGCTTGTGAGAAAGGTTGGTTGGTGACAATTGTGGCTTGTGAGAAGGGTGGGTTGGTGAGAGTTGTGGCTTGTGAGAAAGGTGGGTTGGTGAGAGTTGTGGCTTGTGAGAAAGGTGGGTTGGTGAGAATTGTGGCTTGTGAGAATGGTGGGTTGGTGAGAATTGTGGCTTGTGAGAAGGGTGGGTTGGTGACAATTGTGGCTTGTGAGAATGGTGGGTTGGTGAGAATTGTGGCTTGTGAGAAGGGTGGGTTGGTGAGAGTTATGGCTTGTGAGAAGGATGGGTTGGTGAGAGTTGTGGCTTGTGAGAAAGGTGGGTTGGTGAGAGTTGTGGCTTGTGAGAAAGGTGGGTTGGTGAGAATTGTGGCTTGTGAGAAGGGTGGGTTGGTGACAATTGTGGCTTGTGAGAAGTGTGGGTTGGTGACAATTGTGGCTTGTGAGAAGGGTGGGTTGGTGAGAGTTGTGGCTTGTGAGAAAGGTGGGTTGGTGACAATTGTGGCTTGTGAGAAGGGTGGGTTGGTGAGAGTTGTGGCTTGTGAGAAGGACGGGTTGGTGAGAGTTGTGGCTTGTGAGAAGAGTGGGTTGGTGACAATTGTGGCTTGTGAGAAGGGTGGGTTGGTGAGAGTTGTGGCTTGGGAGAAGGGTGGGTTGGTGAGAGTTGTGGCTTGTGAGAAGGGTGGGTTGGTGACAATTGTGGCTTGTGAGAAGGGTTTGTTGGTGAGAGTTGTGGCTTGTGAAAAAGATGGGTTGGTGACAATTGTGGCTTGTGAGAAGGGTGGGTTGGTGAGAGTTGTGGCTTGTTAGAAGGGAGGGTTGGTGAGAGTTGTGGCTTGTGAGAAAGGTGGGTTGGTGAGAGTTATGGCTTGTGAGAAGGGTGGGTTGGTGACAATTGTGGCTTGTGAGAAGTGTGGGTTGGTGACAATTGTGGCTTGTGAGAAGGGTGGGTTGGTGAGAGTTGTGGCTTGTGAGAAAGGTGGGTTGGTGACAATTGTGGCTTGTGAGAAGGGTGGGTTGGTGAGAGTTGTGGCTTGTGAGAAGGGTGGGTTGGTGAGAGTTGTGGCTTGTGAGAAGAGTGGGTTGGTGACAATTGTGGCTTGTGAGAAGGGTGGGTTGGTGAGAGTTGTGGCTTGTGAGAAGGGTGGGTTGGTGAGAGTTGTGGCTTGTGAGAAGGGTGGGTTGGTGACAATTGTGGCTTGTGAGAAGGGTTTGTTGGTGAGAGTTGTGGCTTGTGAAAAAGATTGGTTGGTGACAATTGTGGCTTGTGAGAAGGGTGGGTTGGTGAGAGTTGTGGCTTGTTAGAAGGGAGGGTTGGTGAGAGTTGTGGCTTGGGAGAAAGGTGGGTTGGTGAGAATTGTGGCTTGTGAGAAGGGTGGGTTGGTGACAATTGTGGCTTGTGAGAAGTGTGGGTTGGTGACAATTGTGGCTTGTGAGAAGGGTGGGTTGGTGAGAGTTGTGGCTTGTGAGAAAGGTGGGTTGGTGACAATTGTGGCTTGTGAGAAGGGTGGGTTGGTGAGAGTTGTGGCTTGTGAGAAGGGTGGGTTGGTGAGAGTTGTGGCTTGTGAGAAGAGTGGGTTGGTGACAATTGTGGCTTGTGAGAAGGGTGGGTTGGTGAGAGTTGTGGCTTGTGAGAAGGGTGGGTTGGTGAGAGTTGTGGCTTGTGAGAAGGGTGGGTTGGTGAGAATTGTGGCTTGTGAGAAGGGTTTGTTGGTGAGAGTTGTGGCTTGTGAAAAAGATAGGTTGGTGACAATTGTGGCTTGTGAGAAGGGTGGGTTGGTGAGAGTTGTGGCTTGTGAGAAGGGTGGGTTGGTGAGAGTTGTGGCTTGTGAGAAAGGTGGGTTGGTGAGAGTTGTGGCTTGTGAGAAAGGTGGGTTGGTGAGAATTGTTGCTTGTGAGAATGGTGGGTTGGTGAGAATTGTGGCTTGTGAGAAGGGTGGGTTGGTGAGAGTTATGGCTTGTGAGAAAGGTGGGTTGGTGAGAGTTGTGGCTTGTGAGAAAGGTGGGTTGGTGACAATTGTGGCTTGTGAGAATGGTGGGTTGGTGAGAATTGTGGCTTGTGAGAAGGGTGGGTTGGTGAGAGTTGTGGCTTGTGAGAAAGGTGGGTTGGTGAGAGTTGTGGCTTGTGAGAAAGGTGGGTTGGTGAGAGTTGTGGCTTGTGAGAAGGGTGGGTTGGTGAGAATTGTGGCTTGTGAGAAGGGTGGGTTGGTGAGAGTTGTGGCTTGTGAGAAGGGTGGGTTGGTGAGAATTGTGGCTTGTGAGAAGGGTGGGTTGGTGAGAATTGTGGCTTGTGAGAAGGGTGGGTTGGTGAGAGTTGTGGCTTGTGAGAAAGGTGGGTTGGTGAGAATTGTGGCTTGTGAGAAAGGTGGGTTGGTGAGAATACAAACATACAAATGTAACAAATGTTATATTTGGGATAACACTGTCTTTGTAAAGTACAGATTCACATACTTTTTTCAATTCCCGGACGGGACTCAACCCCAAAATAAATACGAGAATCTGTACTTTACCAAGAAAGTGTTATCTCAAAAATAACATTTGTTACATTTGACCACTTTCTAAATGGCATTGTGTTGTCATGACTTACATACAATTCACATGATTATTTAGGTTTGTTTGTTTGTTTGTTGTTTATCACCGCACTCAGCAATATTCCGGCTATATGACGGCGTTCTGTGAATAATCAAGTCTTAACCAGACAATCCAGTGATTGATATCACGAGATCAATCTACACAATTCAGATACGATGACATGCATCAACCATGTCAGCAGGTAAGACCACCCAATCCGTTAGTCGCCTTTTATGACAAGCAAAGTTGCCTTTTTCAGCAAGCATGGGTTTTGAAGACCTATTCTACCCCGGATCTTCACGGGTCGATTTCATTCCTGACTCATGCATGACTGGAGCCATTGATGGGGTAGGATATGTATCATCACTATCAGATAGTGATTCATAAACACTTACTCATGATTTAGTAGGAATCATACAATCGACTCTGATTTTAATAGATATTTTTTATGAATATTGAAAAGGTTTTTCTACTTTTATGTACTATATGTAAAATAAAATTTGCAACCTTAAGATTGTCTTCTATATCTTCTAATTTAGAGGACATGTTTAATAAGAACATTTGAGTGTGTCTTAAAGGATTAGATCGTTAAACGGAACCAGCTCTTCCAACACAGAAAATTAAACTTCAAAATGTCAAAGTGGAATTTAAAAGGGATTGGCCTATTATTTCCCAGACAAGAAAGATTCAAGTTACTCAAATTTGCATGAACTTGTTGAAACTGTCAAAAGCAAATAAGAAGGATCGGCCATACATCTGGTTGATGATTTCTGTGTCTACATCCATTCACACAACACCCAGATTGTGCACAGAGAGGCCTGTCTTCAATTGTAACTCGAGACTGAAAGCTTGCTCAATCACTGGTAGCCTTGTCAACTTTTCATGAATCTGCTGTCAGATTGTGATTCAAATGTTTAGATTGTATTTGATTAGGAGCCAGTTGGTATGATTTATGACAGGTAGATATCTAATATTTGATTTCTTTCATAATGTTTGAAGATCAAATTTGGTCAGTTCAAGTAGCAGGTGTCTGGAGGGGGTTAGGTCAAGGTCAATCGGTGGATGCCGATTGGAAGCACATGGTTATTGTAACCACCAGTCGACCAGTCGATACTCACGGTTATTGAAATGTGTTTGTATTTCGTACAAATCTATCCAGATTGGTATAGGTCAGATAATCTTAATAATAGTTTGGGTGGTCGGGTAGCCTAGTGGTTAAAGCGTCCACTTGTCACTGAAGACCAGGGTTTGATTCCCGACATGAGTACAGTGTGTGAAGCATTATGTGAAAGGACATTTATATCTCCATTTTTATTATGGGAAAGGACATTTATATCTCCATTTTAATTATGGGAAAGGACATTTATATCTCCGTTTTTATTATGGGAAAGGACATATATATATCTCCATTTTAATTAGGGGAAAGGACATTTATATCTCAATTTTTATTAGGGGAAAGGACATTTATATCTCCATTTCTATTAGGGGAAAGGACATTTATATCTCAATTTTAATTATGGGAAAGGACATTTATATCTCAATTTTAATTATGGGAAAGGACATTTATGTCTCCATTTTAATTATGGGAAAGGACATATATATCTCCATTTTTATTATGGGAAAGGACATTTATATCTCCATTTTAATTATGGGAAAGGACATTTATATCCCCATAATTACTGCCACAAGTTCTCAATCTTACTGAAATCTCCTTGAAAAACATCATTGTAAAATGTAGGTGCAGCACACAGTCTGGTGATGTCGTGTTGCAGTTCATTATCAGGATATACAGAGAAACCTTGATAATCCAGACACTGTCAAATCCAGGCACACTGCCTCTTAATCATTAATACCATCAGCAAGCCTTCTGTATGTAATTAAAAGGACATTGTAAAATGTATAAATGTATGTGTGTTGCAATCTGATAGGTTGAGTGATTGAGTGAGGTTTTACGCCGCTTTTAGCAATATTCCAGCAATATCACGGCGGGGGACACCAGAAATGGGCTTCACACATTGTACCCATGTCGGGAATCGAACCCGGGTCTTCGGTATGACGAGCGAACACTTTAACCACTAGGCTACCCGACCGCCCCCTGATAGGTTGAAAAAATGTTAATATTCATCCAATCTCATTGAAATCAGATCTTACTTTCCATTACCACCGTACAAAAATCTGTGGACACCCCAATACAGGTCATGTCCAGACTACGAGCCAGACTTTGTTTTAAACTTACAAAGCACTGTTTTTTTGTAAGACTAGAGAAAAGTAGCATGTTAAACATGTTAAAAAACAATAACTACATTTACTGTTGTTATCAGTATAAATACATTATGTACAATACTATAACAAAACCTTGTGAAAATTTATCTTAAAAACTTTTAAACACGGCAAATTATGACAAATAACAATAGATCCATGTCTATTACAGAAGGGAGGTAGCTCTAGTACTCATTTTCTATTTTTTTATGGGTTTTTAACCTACTAATCCAAAATTAATTTTAATATTAGAAAATGATGTCTGGCCGTACTCCATATTATCAAGTGATGATCTTGCATTTAACTGGAACCTTACACTATGCTTTCAAGACAACATTTTTCACATGTATCGCCTCCTTTCATCAATGTCAAGTTTGACATATATATGTTTATGTGAAGATACTGATGGTGCTCTTCTGTCACCATGGAGACCGGTGTATGGTTTTTCTGCAGCTGTAAATAGCAACTGCAGTGATTACCCACAAGCCAAGCCTCATACAGACGACAGGACGTGTCCACGACTAATTAACATTTATAGATATTTTAAGATATACGAAAGAGAAGACAGATTTGGAGATATTAGAGCAGGTAGGCTTTGCCAAGTCTGTAAGGCAATTAATAGTTCTGTCTCTTCTGCCGTGAGCTCACCTGGTCTAGTCCACGGTTGTCAGAGTGTATAACCCTTTTCATTTTTTACTTCTCTGAAATTGTTTAATGGATTCAGCTGAAATTTTGTGTGGAGTTTTGTTACCAGTGTTCGAAATACCTGCCTGCCCGACCGTCCGAGACGGGTTGATTTCAACTCGGGCTGCCAGATTTTCAAATCCCCCTCCCCGACGGTCGGGTTATATTTCATATGTGAAAATATTCTAAATATTTCCCGATGATAAGCATTAATTCACATGTAAAGATGAATGATAAAATGTAACCAAAAAGAAACCCTGTTAGCTTATCCTGAGAAACATGATTATAGTGGGCAGGCAGGTTTTGGTCAGGGCTGGAAAGTATTTCAGCTAGCCAGTCCTGTGGTCTGGCTGAAATTTTTGGGAGTTTCATACCCTGTTGTTACTACAGAGGGTTCATGTTTGAGCAAGGCATCAAAATTGCATTCTTTGATTTAGCCTATTTAATTAAAGAAAAAAACACGAAAAATTGTCTTCTCAAAAACTAAAACCAGAGACGTGATACTTGATGGATGTGGAACCAAATTTGTTCAAGGCAACAGGATAATCAAATATGGCCGTCATAAACATCTTTGCTTCAGAAGCTTCTGAACCAATGACTCTGAAACTTAACCTGCTTGTTCCCACCCATAATGATACCTGAATTTGTTCAAGAGGTTCAAATCACTACTCAGTACTCATGTTATTCTTAAGTGAAGCTGAATCTTTGCATGCTTTTTCCAACAAATGCTGACTCCCAATTTGTTCGGGGGTTCAAATCCGATTTGGAACCTGAGGGAGCTTGACTTTTGATGTATGTTTCTTCTTATGATGACTTCATATGTGATCAAATCAGTCAGATTTTAGTGGGTTTTTGTGAAACAATTGAAAATTAGATCCTTCTCCTTAGAAGGTGTATTAGCTTCAGATTATTATTTTTTGTAAAGTAGATTTAACTGTTGGGTATTTCAACTATGTTCTCCATTAGTTCGTTTGTTCGTTCATAGAAACATCGTGGAAATTGAACTACTTGTTCATAAGGAATACTTGTTTCATATTTGTTAATACTTTTGTCCTCATTATTTATGTAGAGACTACTGTAACATCAATGCTAACAGCAACTTTTGCCGTGTGGCTGTCTACTGCAGGTGAGCTACAGTGATTTGGTGCTATTTTTGGTGAGGGTGATGCATGTGGCACTGGCTCCTGTGCATCTTTTAGATAAGGGCACTTTAGAGCAGAGGTGGATAACAGGATAAAATTAATAAATTGAGATTGATCATTCAGTTATGCAGGTAATAAATATCATATATTTGGAATAGATATGATTTTGTTTGTTGTTTAATGCCACAATCAGCAGTATTCCAGCTATATGACAGCGGTCTGTAAATAATCGAGTCTGGACCAGACGATCCAGTGATTGACAACATGAGCATTGATCCACGCAATTGGGATCGATGACATACATCAACCAAGTCAGCGAGCCTGACCACCAGATCCTGTTAGTCGCCTCTTAAGACAAGCATAGTCGCCTTTTACGGCAAGCATGGGTTGCTGAAGACCTATTCTATCCTGGATCTTCATGGGTCGATATATATGAAGGTGAATGAAATAGATACAAGGAATTCACGTTCAAAAATGTATACTGCTTCTTTAAAATAATCTCTTCCTGGATTGACTCAGGTCCTCAGCATCAAAGAGTCGATGACAATGTGGAATGGATGGCTTGTAATATTGCTGAAATATTGCCAATTGCAGTGTTAAACAACATTCTACCATGAATTTTGAAAATATTTTATTTTGATTGGCGAATCAGTTATCAAATCACGATAAACACCCCTTGATTGAAACAGCCAACATC